ATCCCAGCTGCTGGGGAGGCTGAAAAGAGGAGGATCACTAGGAGTCTGAACTGCGTAGTGAGACCCTGTACCAACAACACATGCACAAACACACCCACACACAAAAAAATAAAAAACCTCAAAATCTTGAAAGAGAAAAATTGTGTTTTTCATATCCATATGTTTGTGGTTTCTCTTACTTCTCATTTTATTCCTATGTGATCTGAAATTATTTTTTTTACCTTGGTAAAACTTGCTTTGTCACCTAAACTATGATCTGTTTTGCACCGAATTCTGTGAGCTGCTGGAAAGAATATACACTCTGTAGTTGTTGGAATTACTAAAGATATCTGCTGAGTTCGTTTGATCTCGAGTGTAGCTTACTCGTGTTTATGTTTTGTCTGGATGACGTACATTGGTGCGTGTGGGCTACTGAAGCCACCCACTATATTGACTTGGGGTGTTTCTGTTTGTTTATGTCAGATAGTGTTTTTTTTCAGGAAGTTTGGTATACTGGTGTTTGGAGCATATATATTTTGTTCAATTGCTTTATTGTCTTGGTAGATTGTTTCCTTTACCAAAATATAGTGACTATCTCTTAAAATTTTGATTTCAAATTTGCTTTGTTGGGTCTGAGAATAGTTACTGTTGCTTGCTTTCAGATTCCATTTTGCATAGAATATAATTTTCCATCCTTTCACTTTTGGGCTTGTTTTCGTCAATGAAGTGTTTTTCTGGAAGGCAAGAAAGATCTGGGTCTTGTTTTTTAATCCAGTCCACCTCTCTGTGTCTTTTATTTGGAGAATTAAGGTAATTTCTATCCAGGATAATTACTGAAGGGTGTCTGAGGTTACTCTGATAGCTTTGTCTTTGTAAGTGCCGTGGTGTTTCTCCAGTGCCGTCTTCAACATTCTTTCTTTGTTCTGTACTCTTGATAATTTTACTGTAATATGACATGAGGAGGTTCTCCTATATGGGGATGTTTGTGTATTTTTCAAGAATTGAGAATTTTTCTGCTGTTATTTAACTGAAAAGATTTTATATGCCCTTGTCTTTTTTTTTTTTTTTGCCAGCTCAGCCCACCCTGGGGACGGGATTAGTGTGGCATGTGGTATGTGGTGCCAGGGATTGAACCTGGTCCCTGGGCTTTCGCCTAAGCTTGCCTAAGCAGGTGCTTTAGACCACGGAGCTATCTTGCTGGCCCTATGCCCTCGTCTTGACACTCTTAACAAGTCCAAAGATCCGTAAGTTTAGTCTTTGTTTTCAGAAGTCTTGCATATTCACTTAAAATTTTCTTGGTTCTTTTTTTTTGTTTGTTTTTTGTTACTGTTGGAATGTGATACATTCATCAATGCTGTCTTCAAAATGAGAAATTCTGTCTTCTGTTTGATCTAGTCTGTTGGTGAGACTTCCTGCTGAGGTTTTTTTTTTTTTTTTTCCCTGAACTTTTCATTTCCAAGAGTGCTTGGTTTTTTCCCCCAAAATTTTTGTCTCTTTAATTCATTCAGTTCTGTATTTTCTTGGATTTTTAAAAAAAAATCATTCTTCTTTATTCTTCATTTGGCATTTCATTCTGTTTAGTATCTTTGGCATCAGTTGTTAAAAAATTATGAACTTTTGGAGGAATCATAGCTTGTTTTTTCATATTTCTTGTATTTCTGTGTTGAGATTTGTGCCCCTTTGGATTGGCTGTACAAGTTCTTCTTTACTTTATGTGAAGGCCTTTTTAAGGGGTCTCTTAACAATGTGTCCCAGCACATGAGGTTATTGTGGAGTGCTGACTATACTTCTGAGTGGGTTTCATCGTATATTTTCTCAGTTACTTCTTTAGTGGTGACTACTGTATTGTGATACAGTGTGCGCTGTTGGAGCTGAGGGTCCCACTCTCTCTGTAGGTCTCACAGGAGTAGAGGTCTTCTAGTGGATCCGGAAATTGTGTTACTAACTGGAATGTATGGGGTTTAACCTCTGTGGTTACTGCTGCTTTCCTATGAACAATCCACGTTTGAAAAAGGTGTGCCAGCAGCCTGGGCTGGAGCCCCTTGTAGTAGGTGGCTGTGGTCTCTGCGTTGTTGTCTTCAGGGACTGCTATGGGCGGGTGTCCAGCGGCTGGCCATTAGCCTATCTCTTAGGTGGGCCAGTGTGGGTCTGGCTTTTTTTTTTTTTTTCTATTTAGAAACAAATTTTACTTAAGATCTGAAATACAATTCCTAAGATATCAACTTTGCCAGAAAACTGTGTCTACACAACAGTGCATTGTCTCTATCATGTTAGAATGTGCATTAGACTCAAACACAAAAACCAAGAAACAAATCACCATCCTTTCACATTTTAAGCAAAACCATGAAACAAACAACCATCCTTAAATAATTTGAACCATAGAATGCCTAAGGAACAACAGAGGTGGATTCGCAGAAAATGGGCTGTTTTACTTCATTCAAGCACCATAAAAAAAGAGCACAAATGTATGGGTTTTCAGGTATATACATTAAGTTGAAGCTCTGGCACTAGGAATCAGGACATTTTGTCACATGGCATTTAACACGTTAGAAAATTGTGTAGTGTCATAGGGACAGAACCACCAGCATTTAAGCAATGTTGTCAACTAGGCAATACAATGGTCTACTGAATGTCTTTTCTTTGTGTAATTACCGCATACACTGGTAGCAACTTTGAAAGGAGGAAAGGAGTTTATACTCCTTTTATTTTCTGTTTAAAATAGAACAGAAAACAAGCTGAAACATAAGCCCTGTTATACACTGACAATTTCAAAGAACATCAATTATACCAGTAAAAGACTAAGAACAGAAAGTGTTTACAGACACCAGACATCAGTGCTGAGAGGCCGGTAGACCCTCACAGGGCTTCACGCTGGTAGTCAGCAGGAGCCACTCTGAAATCACTGCAGTAAACAGTGGGCAGAATCTTTGCCACATACTTTAGGGAACCATGCTAATAGTCCAACAGTGGTGCTCTTGTCACCAAAGGGGGTGTAGGCCAACACTGTTCCTATTCTCACTAATAATCTCAGTACCTGTGGTGCTCCATAAACCTGGGACATTGGCACATCAGGGTGAGCCAAGAGGACTTCAGCGTACTGGGGCCTTGCAAATTTGCAGAGCAGTTGAGTGCCCAACATCATGTTGAAATATTCTTTTATTCCTGCCACAACTTCATTAACTGCATATTCCTTATTGTCAACATGTCCCTGTGATTTCTTACAATTAGCATACTCTTCCAGCATAGCATCTACGTTTTTCTTAGCAAGAAGTTGAAAGAGCTGCTTCTGCCTGATCACTAAGTACCAGACCGCCACAACCATGCTTTTAATGCTTCAGGAATCTTCACTTTAACTTCCATCCTATTAAATGCTTCCTCACTTGCAATGGTGGGGTTCGCCTCAGCCCTTTTCTTCTGAGGGATCTGGGGACTTCACTGTTGCTGCCACCATTTCCATTCCCAGGAGCCTTCTGCTTGTTCTTTCTTGTCTTCCTCACAGATCTTGAAGGAGGGTTCTCTACAGAGCGACCACCTCATCTTCCTGGAAGAGCTGGCTCAAGATTCTTTGGCTGCAGACCAGCTGCCTTCTTTCCTGAGGAAAGCCCCTTTCATCTTACTTCTCTGCATATTGCTTCGGGATGGCTTTTTGAAGTTGTCCCCTTCTGTAGATTGCTGTCCACGAGTTTGAGAACCCTGCTTTCTGGAGCTCATTCAACTCTGTTTTTATTCCAACCAACAATCTTCCTTCTTTCCGTTCTAGGAACTGCTAGTAATTTCCCAAGTGGAATCTTACAGGTCTTCAGGATGGTCTAGAAGGATGAAGTAAGAGACACAACCCAAGATTCTATAATCAAGGACGGTTCAGCAATCAGGATCAGATCTCCTGATACGCACTGTATACCAAACTTAGCTTTTCTGGTGGTGACCTGAAACGAGAATCCAGCTCTCTCCAGCAGAACATGTGTGCCTGGGTCTGGCCATTGGCTGGGCTTTGTCTCCTTCTGTTCTTGAGCTAACTGTTCTCCAGGAGGGCTCTACACCAGTGTGCTGCTTCTCTCCCTCTGGCAAACTCAATCACTGAGACTTTTCAAACTTCTCATTTTGACCTTCAGTGTACTCCCTTCCCCGCACCTTGGGTAGCTGTCTGGATGTTTCACTTCTGAGTCATGGTGAAGTTGGAAAGTGCTGTTGGTGATCCACTTTCTTTTCCATTATAAAACATTTTTTAAAAAATCCAGTATTTCAGTTGCTTTCATTGAGAAGTTGATCCAAAGAAGAAAAGGATTATAAAATATTTAAAACAATAATATGTGATAAAAATGAAGATGGCATAATAAGACATAAACTGGAAATTAAAACCCCTTTCCCCACACAGAAGACTCCAAGTGTCCTTCACACAAGGTGGCCCTTGTTGCTTGTTTTGCTTCCAGATATTTATGTGTGTTTTCAGTATCTAAAATATATGTGCTTTTCTAGGCAAACAAATGCTTATATGGACAAAAATTTTTTATAATGCTTAATCTTTTTTTCTTTTTTGAGGGGGCACTGGGAATCAAACTCAGGACTTTGTGCTTGCCAAGCAGGCACTTATGTCGCTGAGCTGTCTCGCTAGCCCCTTATTTTTTTAAACTTTAAAAAAATATATGAAGACATTTTTGAGACTTTCTCTATTGGCATGTATCTGATTTGGGATAAACTACCAGTTATGCAACCAGGTTCTTATGAAATTTTTCAGACCCACACTGTTTTTGTTTTGAGACAAGTTCTTGCTATGTAGCTCAGGGTGGCCTCAAACTCTGTGTAGCCTAGGCTGACCCTGAACTCATGACAATCCTCCTGCCTCCGCCTCCCGAGTGCTGGGAGTACAGGTGTACACCCTATACTTTTTAAACAGCCCTGTGATAAACATCTCTAAGATAAACTGAAGTGGTCCTGTTTATTCCCCTCTAAGAGGGTGTATTCATATCTACTCATATCAAAAGTATGTGAGCATTTTAAATAATGACATGGTAGGTGCCTACCTGCCACAATAAAGGCACTCTGGTGTGGAGAAAGCAGTCGTACATGTCTTCCAGTTCTTGAGTAAGGGTGATCTCTCCTTTTATAGCAAGTTGAAGATCTTTTAAAGATTTATGTATAACAAATAATAACTTATCAAATCGTCCAGTTTCTTGGTTCAAAAAGGTTATCAAGGCACAGTGAATAAGCGGATCATGGCCTGAATTTAAAGAGAGAGAGAGAGAGAGAGAGAGAGAGAGAGAGAGAGAGAGAGATAAAACTTTGCTTCTTACAGAAAAAAAGCTGCGCCTGGAGGGCCGTGGGGACTCCACGTGTCTCGAGCAGGCTGCAGCTTCTGGCAACGCAGCCTTGTGGGACAGCTGCTGTGATGTGGCCTGTGACTGCCCAAGACGTCATTCAGGAGTGTGATCATAACCCACATTTTGGTAAGCTGTAGCTTAACATTTGGTTCCAAAATGAGCTCTTAAAAAGGCTAGAGGGACCGGGGAGATAGATGAGGTGCAAGGGCCTGCCTGGCAAGCGTGAACTCTTGAGTTCAATCCCTTGTATGGAAAAAAAAAAGAGGCACAGCACACCTGCTCGACTTGGAAACGTACCCCAGGCCAGGAGCCCAGCCACCTGCCCACCTTGCCGAGAGCTGCATGCAGAGATCTGGCCTTCTCGGTTCAGGCCTTTGCATGCCATGGTCTTTCAGAAATGTCTGCCTCCCTCCTGATGCCAGCCCTCTCTGTCCCCGCTCCTACCCTAAGCTCACCAGACACATTTCTGCAGAGACACTCCCAGGCAGAGCTGGCCAGGAAGGCCTGCAGAGTGCCCACGGTGGCGTCCACAGCTCCGTCGTCCTCCACCGCTAGGGGCAGCTGCGCCTGGATGTCATGCAGGATGTCCCTCACTAGCATGTCAGGGCTTTGCTCAGGACTGCAAGGAACAGGGGAAGGGAGAGCAGACCTCTTAGGGCCTCAGGGCATGAGTCATTCTCTCTGCAACGTTTACAGAAATGTTGTTTAAAACACCTTTGCCTCCCCGGGGAGATGGCCACCCTCGGGACACATCCGTCTGAGGAGGGTCCCTGGGCTGAAGAGAAGGAGCCTCTGGACATGTCCTCTTTGCCACTCGGGGTGGTGGCGGCACACCTCCCCAATGCCCTCCTCTGTGAGGACTTCACTTGTACCCATGTGCCTGATGCTGTCTGCACGGCCCAAGGGGCATCCCCTTCTGTGACAGGATCACATTGCTGTCACCACGTGGCCACCAGCAGTGTGTGAAACACCTAAGGTCATGTGTTTATTCTGTTGCCACACTTTTTCTCTGACTTAAAGTTGATGCGCTCAGTAGACGTTGTCCAATTTGGCTTCAAATAATTAAAAAAGCCAAAAAGTCTCAGCTGTGAGGAGGATGGCAGACCTTTCAAGTGAGGTCTGCACACAACAGACTGTGTGCTGGAGTCCACCCTCGGCGCTGATGGGCCGGGCTGTGTGGACAGACGAGTTCAGGGTGCTTGTTAGAGGAAGCAGACCATATGTATTTGCTTAGTCCGTGAAATGAGAGTCCCACTGTCTATTCTGTGTCTGGAGGTTGGCCTTGGCTATATGGCCGAAGAGTCAACCCAAGCCATAAGCCACAACCAGAATTCAGTTATCACTTCATTTTATTTTTGTGGTGTTGGGAATCCAACTCAAGCCTCAACCTAGGACTTCATGAATGTGAGGGAAGAGCTCTATCATTAAGTCCACCCCAGTCTACATGTCTTTTTTTTTGTGGGGGGCAGCTTTGGGGATTGAACTCTGGACTTTGCACTTGCCAGGCAGGTGCCTATGCTGCTGAGCTACATCCCCAGCCCTGCGTGTCATTTTAATATGAATTTTGTCCAAAGGGAGGAAAAGACTATAAGACAGTGCAGGATTGTAATTGATTCAAAGGTTTTAGAGATATATGGAAAAAAATTGTATGTTAAAGCCAGAGAAATATAAAATTCAATCTGCAAATACTCAGAAGCATTAGACAATAAATAACTGGATCCAGGGTTATGGGTGAAGTATCGCCACTTTATAGAATAACAGAATTAGTGTTATTTTACTAACAAGGATACACAGAGTTCAGGGAATTCTGTCAATGTTGCCAACAAAAATTAATCCATTTTGATTAAACTCTATTACTTCTCAGATTGCAAATAAACTAAAAAGTCAAACTAACAAATCATGCAAGGGCTGGCAGTACAGCTCAGTGGACTAAGCACTTGCTTAGATAAGCACAGGGTGGGGTTCTATCCCTGGCACAAAATGCCCCATTGGCCCTGCCCCTGGTTGTGCTGATCCAGCGATGGAGCCCAGGTGTGGTGGTGCACACCTGTAATCCCAGTACTAGGGAGCCAGAAATCAGGAGGATCACTACAAGTCTGAGCTGCATAGTGAGACCCTGCACAAAAAAAAAGCCTTAAAAAATTATACAAAGTAATAAAATTGATGTCTGTGGAATGACTTTCAAATCTTTGGAGATTCATAATTATATATAAGTAGGTTTAAAAGAATTAAAGCCATGGCTAAGGAATGATGTTATTTAAAATATTTGTAATGTTTTAGAGAATGACCCTCTTAATCTGTACAGGGCAGTGTTGGTACTCTACCGGAGATAACTGAAAAACAGTTAAATTTAGGATTAAGTTGAAATACAGCTAAATTATACAGATGAGAGAATAAGGGGGCTTAAGAGTCACTGTATTTATTTGACTATTCAATTTCTACAAATTACTGAAAAACTTGAAATGGTCTGGAATGTAGGCAACAGAGGTACATTAACTTTATAATGGGTATTAATATGTTTGAAAATGGTTGGTTAAGCCTATAAATGGGATTCAATACTACTCAAAGACCTTTTAGGTGTGACTGTTAAGATATGTGAGCTTCCAGGCGCAGGACTTAGATTGCCAGGCTGTGTGTTAGGGTGTGGAGAGCACCGTGGGCCTGAGAGCCCTGCAGGGCAGGTGCTGAGGGCGGGGCGCCAAGTGCCCAGCTGGGGAAGTCCAGGCGTGGGAGGAAGGGGTATGTGCCCGTCCCTGAGCAGCTATGAACTCCTACGAGAACCCTCAGACCTCCAGCTGGCAATCAAACCACTGTCCTGGCATCAACGAACTTAATCTTACTTTAAAGACACAGGAGGAAGATGGGGGTCTGGGTGTCCATGTGCTGCATCATTTGACTCCTTAGCACCCTTCCAGGAAGACAGGTACTGCTGTCTCCAAGCATGTGATCGGGACACTGAGCCGTGGCAGTGCAGCCCACGGGGCCCTGGTACACACCACAGGGAAGCAAATGCATCTGAAAATATCATGCACCAGGTGTAATTCAGCCTCTCACTTAACAAAGATTCATGTATGCTTGGTGAATGTGTATGCTGTGCTTGATTCTGTGTCATTTGGAGAATCCATTTCTCTGGTGTGGACACTACTTTCCTGAAAGTTTGGCGCTGCAACTCCAAATGAATATTGAATAAACTTGGTCCAGTAGTACCCTGTATGCCCTCACCTGATGGCGAGGGTGACTGTGGCAGTGCTGGGCTGCATGGCAACAAGACCATCCATGAACTGCAGGCCTTGGGTCTCCCTGCAGCTCCGTGTGGCTTCAGGGTGAATCCCTAAGATCTCCGGAGCGTCCTCTTCAGGTAGTGACTGGATAATGCGTATGTAGTCCTGGAAGCTTGCAGATCTGGGGACCGGCTGACCTAGCTGAAAAGTTAGCTACTTAGTTTTGCCTGCATGAGAGAACACTTTCTGGAATGCTGAGGTCAATATTACTCCAGGACCCTACCCAGAAAGCTTGTCTTATTTGTGTGTCATATGTTCTAAACATGCTATGGAAAGGAACATCTGAGTCCACTGCACTGTAATGCATACACAACATACACATAGACACTTGGGAAAAGAGAGGAGGGAGGGTGAAAATCATCAGAAGGCTGGGATGACTCCGGTGACTCTCTGCTCGGTGACATGCACCCATAGGTGATGATGTACTAAAGATAACCATGTCATTTTTCTGCCAGAAAGTCTGGAGAAGGAATGGAATAATACTGTGGTTCGGATCTGAAATGTCCCCCAAAGGCCGTGGCTGAAAACTTGGTCCCCACACTGCAGCTGTACAGTGAGGGTGGAACTTAGGGGGTGGTGGTGGTGGGCGGAAGTGAGGTCACTGGGGGTGTGGCCTTGGAAAGGATATTGGGACAGGGCCTTCTTGCCTCTCTCCGTTCCCTCCTCTCTCCCTTCCCTTCCCACCTTCCCTTCCCCCCTCTTCCTTTTTTCCCTACTCCTCTTTGCTTCCTAGTCCATGGGGTGTCTCCTGCCACATTTCTGCCTAACGATCACAGATTCTGAAACCATGAGCTGGAATCAACCAGTCCCCTTTATAGGCTGATCATCTCAGGGATTTGTCATAGCAGCACAAAGCTGCCTAACACAAATGTTACGAACTTCCAGCCACTGACAAAGAAGAGACAGTTTGGTCACAAAAGTGGGTGGGACAGCTTTCTTTGAGGGTGTCCTCAAGGAAAGCCCTAAAGTGTCCACAAGGTCACAGGCAAGCCTCACACAGCAGTCACTAGTAAAAGAAGCTAAGGTCATGACAGCGAAGACATGGTAAGTGCGGATTGTTATAAAATTTCCAGTGTTTGAAAATGAAGAAAGAACAGAAATGTGTGATTTGGAGATATGTGTGTCTGCTGTCGGACACAATGTGGATGCCACTGTATGCTGGCATGGGTCCCTGTTCCCACACGCACGCACACACGCATTGCTTAATGGAGTGGTCAGTGTCCAGAATCCTCCCACTTCATATTTTGCAGGCCATTTAAAGGATTTTCCAGGGATATTTTCTCTTAATACCTGACTTTATAAACCGTGAACTAAAATGTTATTTTAAACAGCTTTACTTGAAGGACAACTTTAAAATACCCCATAGCTCTTGCCTGGCCCACTCCTGACTTGAGTACTCACCACAGGCACCTCCTTCCCAGCCTCCTTCTCCTCTCCTCTCCCTGCTCCCATAATCTGGCTAAGGCTGAAGAGCTGCTGCCTCTGAGGCCTGGTTGCTGGGCCTCCCCATGGGTGAAGGCCTGCAGCGTGCCACGCCAGGGACAGACACGGCTGCAGGTCCCTGAGTCAGGCCCTTGCCCGCTGGCTGTGTGGGTGTGCGGCCGGCCCGTGCATCACTTCTTGCCCATGGCTGGGACAGCAGTCCCAGGCTGCTGCCAGCACTGAGCGAGAAGCGCCAGCCCCCTTGGCTGCAGCCCTGTGTGCCCAGGCCGTGCGCTTTTTGCCTGAGGCTCTTGCGTGCTGCCACCCTGCATGATGTTGGGTAATGGAGCAGTGCTTTTGTAATACTGTGATGGAGTCATGAAAGTCATTAAAACGTACATCAGAGTTTATCAAGTATCCATTTTAAATAATGCAACTGTGCTTATTTAAAAATTTTAGGCCAATGTGAGATTTGGCCTGTTCTTACCTCCTCACTGGAGAAGGTGAAGTCATCTCTCAGCACCTCTGGGTTGCAGAACCTGCAGAGCAGTGTGTCCAGGCACCGCTTGTCCCAGGGGTCTGTGATGCGGCCACCGTAGACCACCTCCCCGACCAGGCAGTGCAGCAGCCGCCAGGGCACGTCCACCTGTCTCCGCAGCACGCTGGCCAGCACCTTGATGGAAGCCTGCGGGGGCGGAAGAAGCCTTGCTGCTTTAGCACCTGTCCTGCTTAAGTGACCGTTCAGTAAGGCCAGCACCTCCCGCCAGCCACGTGCTCTCCATGTACAAGGAGCAAGAGGACGAGCTATCGGGAGGGCACTTGATCTGCAGCTTCCTGTTCCTGAACTATTCATTACTTGTTTGAGCAGACAAAGCGACACGTGGGCTTCTGTGTTGTTTGCTATGCTCCAGCCACGTACTGCCAGCTCTGGTAAGCAGGACTGCCTTTGGCACAGAGGGGCTGCAGCGTGGGCCGGCAGCTGGGGGAGGAAGCGCCTTTCGGCGGGTTTTTTGGGTGTGTGTGTGTGTGTTTCTAGCATCTCTTCTCTAAGTGAAATTTTATCAACCTCCGACCTTCCCTAATGAAATTCTTTTGGAACTGCATTGTATTTGATATTAATCTTGGAGAAACTGATGGTAATGATACAAGAGGTCTCCTTATCAGGCCATAGATGCATTTCTTTAGAGAAAGGTGGGATTTAAAAAACCGAGCTGTGGAATCAGGCTGCCTTTTATTAGCTGTGGAGTAGGGACAAGTTTTTTAAGTGTCGGGTGACTATTTTCTTGCCAAAACAATAAGAATAATTAGTGTTATTGCCATCTAAAATTGTCATGAGGATAAATCCATGTAAAGCGACGAAGACATTTGTAAACTCCCATGAAATGTTACCTCTTTTTCTCCCTAATTTATAATGTTCTTAATCCAGAACTCATCTATTTCTTGTCTTTTTTAAAAATTTTTTAAACTCAGCTGTATTTATTACCTCTTAGCAGAACGTGACCTGGTCACTCACTTCCACTCACAGGCCTTGTTCCGAATGATTTCTGAAGTTGCTCTGTGGTATCCCTAGAAGTTGTCTCTCCCTTGAAACTACTTTTCTTTGGAAAACAAGCCCGGACAGCTCCTGCCATCCAGCTTTCAGTATAATGTACTCCTAGAAGCCTAGGACATGTGGATTTGAAACTACTGGGGAAAGTTTAAAAAAAGATTCTATAAGAAAACTCAAGCTATCTTAACAAATATTCCTTTAAACATCAGGCAATCTCAACACTTCAGACACAAGATCTGGTCTATTAAAGAATCTGACCCCACTGCCAACACCACCACGCTGCTGTCAATGAGGAGATGCCTGCGTTGAAGGGGATGACGGCGCGTCGCGCATGGAAGAAGTCGACTGAGCTCGGCCTGAAGAGCCACTAAAGTGTGCTCAGGGCCTTAACCTGCATTCCCTCTGATAATATATATTTTCGAGGATTTTTTTTTGTTAAATCTGTATGACATGATAACTGCTTTTAAGAGGAAAATTTCTTTCTACTTTTAAGTAACACTGTGATATTTTAGGTCTGAAGTGCTTAGTTATCTTGTCAAATTTGCTCCCAAGTAGTAGTTAGTATGATTCTTCACTATTGTATTTAGTTATGCACTTCCCTACTTTCATTTTTAGGTTTTCATCACTAGAGAAGATTGACTGGTCTTACGTATGTATGTCTGCATGTGGCCACTTTCCCAAGGTCTCTACTTAGCTTAGGCAGCTTTTTAATTTTTTAAAATTTTTGTTTGTGGTACTGGGGATCGGACTCGGGACCTTGAGCATACTGTATTCTACTGAGCTATCTCCCTGACCCTTAAAAAAATAAAAATTAACTAACTGCTTAAGTTTCCTAGATATATAATTGTATCATTAACAAAATACATTTTTCTCTTCCATGCGCTTTTGAGACGAGTCCCCTGATCTCTGCACCTTGCTGCACTCACTGGGATGTCTAGGACAGTGCTGGCAGGCAGCGGTGGTCAGGGTGCTTGGTCTAAGGTTCGAGTTCCCATGAAGCAATTCTGGTTTTTGAGTCTCTGACTGATACTCACTGTGGCTTTTCAGCAAGGTCCTTGTGACCCTACCACTTTAGGGTTTCTATTTGAAATGGCTTCCAATTTCTACGTCTGGCGAGGTGAGCACATAAGCTAGGTTCTCAGGTGTGAAGCCCTGCTGCATGCTTAGTTGTGTGCAGCTTGGTTGTGTCATATTAGTTTCTTTTTTTTTGTTTATTTAATTTTCAATGTTATTGTTCAGATAGTGTAATTATTCTTTTCCTGAAATCTATGAGTATCTACATACACTTTTCTTTTTTTCTGTATTTAGGACAGGATCTACAGTGTCTAAGTAGATAGGACTCGCAGTGATCCTCCTGTTTTTCAGCCTGGGCGGGGCTGGCACTGCAGGCCTGGGATTGAACCCAGGTACCTGTGTCTGCCTACGCCGGTGCTTTAATCTGCTGAGCTATCTGGCTGGCCCTCTAGCAACATTTTAGAATCTGCTCTAACATGCAAATGAGCGGGTGAACAGGTGTGACTGTGCAGGAAGCACAATCGCAAGATTAATTTGGGGCAAGTGTGAGCAGGGCTTACCACCAGTCTTCAGAAAGCACAGATAGGACCCTTTCCATGTGGCAGAGAGAAAGACAATGAGGCTCACTCCAGTGGGCGGCGCCACCTCCATGCTGTTGTGATGAGCAGCCAACAAGCACTCAGAGCGGTGCCTGCATGCGGTGTTATTCTGAGGGCTGCCCTCAGCTAGCACCCGGGTCCTGGGCAGCTGGCACTCACATTTGTTGCCCTCTGACCTCAGAAACTTGCACGTGTTGAGGCAGGGAGCTGCAACTCGACTCCAGAAAAGCTGCCCTCAACATCGCTGCCCTTGAACGTCAGCGCTCACTGCTGGGTTGCACAGCTCATCTCTGGACCCTGTCATGACCCTGTATCTGTGCAGACACAGCAGGCTCCCAGCGTCTATCTCTCATCGCCATGCATGTGCTACTGTTTGTTTTGGAGAGTTCAGACTTACCTCCAAGTCTGAAGAAATAAATTTGTAAGCTATATTCCAGCCCAGTGTGCCGTAGTTTTTTCTTTCATTGACCACAGCATTGAAAAAACACAAGCTAAATAAAAGTTTTTTCCACCACTGTCCGTAGTCGGGGTTTTCAAATATCTCTTCTGTCACTTCCCCACCGCCATTGTATCCAAACATCTGGAGTAAGTTGCTCTTCAGTCCCTGGGGAGGCTCCAGGGCAACCTTAAGATAGATGCGAAGAGATGCCACGTGAGGATGGACAAGCGCTCCACTCTGGGCAGCAGAGGGAGGTGAAAGGAGCAGGGCTGTGTCCAGGTTCATGGCAAAAGCCCTGGTGCTGCCTGCTCATCTCTACCTGCAGGCTTCTTGGATAGGTTTCCCTGGGTTGTCCTGACTGTCTCCAAAGCACAGAATGCAGAGCACTTAAGAGCCTGAGGAGCAGACGGACCTGTCAGTGGCAGCTGAGGGCCTCAGGCGTTTGATGGGGCCAAAGTATGAGACTCCATGGGTGTCTCACTACATGTGTTGACGGCATTGAAAACCTACTCACTCTGACTTCCTCCCCAGGGTGCCAGAAACGCAGGAAGGCAGGGAGGTGGAAGACAGGTTGTTTCTGAGACTATGGCTACCCGGGTCTGAGGTGTCAGAACAGCTTGAGTGTGCACATGCATGCTGTGCACTTGTGAGGGAGGCTGAGCGTGCAGCCACTTCTGCACTGTCGGAAACCTTGTGTCACTGTCATTGCGTATGGCATGAATACAAATGGCATAGTTGTGCATTGCTATGTGTGGAATTGCGTGCACAGGCACTGCGCGTGTGCAATGTAAATGAGCCTTCCGGATTCAGGATCAGAGCGACTATTCACCCATAGAACAGCTCAATTCATCCCTTCCTGGGTGACAGGCAGCCAGGCACTCCACGCCCTGCATTGCCAAGGGAGGGGATCACGGTGGAAGAGGGAGAGGAACGGAGAGCCAGGTCTCCAGGCTTGACAGCCTCACACTTTATTCCCTGAAGCTTCTCTGCCCTGTTAGCCTTAAAATGCCAACCACTCGCTCTGGGAGATGGGGAAAATGTAGGTGCATGGGAGACCTGGTCTCTGCGCAAGCTGCCTTTTAGACACCTTTAACAAAATTTATCTGCTTTTGTTCTTTGCTCAGAAAGCCCCAACTATGCAGGGATGAGTTCTTGGATCACTGTTTCACAATCATATGACCAATTCTTTTGGGAAGGTTGTCCCATTTCTGAAAGCAGGTACAGTATGTGCCCACCCCTGAAGGAGTATATCTGAAGGGCAAACAGTAGAGAAGAAAGAGGGAGAGGAAAGGAGGGAGAGCTCATCTTTGGGGACAGTATTCTTTTTTCATCAGCATAAATGCACCATCATTTGGCTTTTTCCTAGAAGTGAGTCATTTAATCAAATTGTACGAAATTTTAAGTCTTTCTCTTTCTGCCTATAATGTCTGCAGTTACATAAAAGCCATTTTTCTGTTTATCTCTTTATGATATTTTCTTTGTCAGACTCTATGAGAATGTTATTTTACAGAACTTTAACAGCACTGATATTGCATCTGCTTTCAATCATTGTCAGTTTGAGGGAAAACAAAGACATCTCCTTGTTCTTATTGCATTTCTAAAGGCTGGATTTTCTGGTATTTCCATGTTTTTGGACCTCTCATGATTTCTCTTACTTTTATGAATGCTAACTTTTTTTTTACTAATTTGTTTTTGTTCTTATTCATATATTAAGAAAGCTGCCAGCTGTCCATGTAGATAATGGTGTGAGACAATGTCCTATACAAATCTGGGTAGGCTGCAATCCAAACCCCCACTCCTGGACAGAGGAAAGGCTGACCGAAGTCATAACTTGCCAGGTTGCTCATGTCTCAGCCTTTCCAGCCCAGGTCCTTGTGCCCAGGGCAGGGCTGCTGGGAGCAAGCTGGGGGCAGCAGGAGTAGTGTGACGGAGGACATCTCCCTCCACAGGAGCCAGGACGTGCTCAGGCTGGTGGGGGCTCTGCTGGGGTCTGCCCGTCACCATCTCCCTTCTCCCCCCCAGCTCTGTCAGAGTAGTATAAGGGCACTTGCAGAATGGCAGACTTACAGGCATATTAGAGCAAAAGTTAGAAATCAGAGGCCTGGGACCCAGGCCCTCAAGCGCATCACTTAGCTGGCTTACTGCATTCATTTGGCCTTGACTGTCTAGGCCCAGAGGTTTCCCCTAGTGATGTGTGTGGTCAAACTGACTGTGTGTTTTAGCAAATATGCACTGATTCCAACTTGCTTGATTCCAACATCCTTGGAAGGACTTCAAGGCTGTCATGTTTGGGGAAGGCCGGCCCAGTCACAAACATGTGAATTGTGAATTATTTAAAGTATCCTTCCTGGTTTCAGGCATAGGGCAGTACAAAGCAGCTTGGGGCAACAAAAATAGTATCTTTCTCAATTCAGATCAAGAATGCAAGACAAATTACATTTAAACAGGGCTCCTGGCCAACACTAACACATGCTATTATGTGTTCTTACCTTTACACCCTTTTGAAGAATCGGCATTGGGAAGGCACGGTCTGATTTGGAACTTAACCATAGCCTAAATTCTGGGTCTATGGCTACATCTGGCCTGTTAAAACTATAAAATGAAAAATGTATAAATATTTTAGCATATGTGCTGCTGAAGTGAGTTCAAAATTTATAGATACCTTAATATAAAAATAAACGTGCTCTTAAGAGTCATCGGGCGTCTGTATGAAACGACTTCCACAAACACTTTTAGCCAAGAGTGTCACCCTCTTATCACCAGAGCACTCAGGTTGCCCAAGAGTCTGTACAAAACGCGTCAATTCCCATTTTAGACATTATTATTATTGTTATTATTTATGTCTTTGGTACAGGGTCTCACTAGGCCGCTCCGACTCGCCGTGACCCTCCTGTCTTCAGTCTCCCGGGCTCTGGAATTGCAGGGGTGCACCACCAGAGCCAGTCTCAGTCTTGGTGGCTGGCTCAGGGCACCCGGGGCAGGGCTGGCAGGGCATGTGGTGCCAGGGATTGAGCCCTGGTCCCTGTACTTGTCTAAGCAGCCTGTTTTTAAAATGCAGTTTTCCTCACTTAAGTTTAAAAAGTTATACATAATCATGGGAAAAAAAGATCAAAGAAAAATTAGAAATGGAAGACAAAATGAAGGGTTCCACTGGTCAAGCCTGGCGACCTGAACATCAAAACAATGGCACTAGTAACCAATTAATCACTGACTAAAATGAAAGCCAGTGAGCTCATATGGACATGAATAAATGAACATATAAACAAATTAGAGGGAAGAAATGCTTCTCCTCCTAGCGGAGCATCATTAAACAAACTCTGCTAGTTGTGGTGCTATCGACTGACCTCGAGCCTGTACGTGCAGAGCGTTCTCTCCACACTCAGCTACTCTCACAGCCCCATTCAATAAACCAAGGAGAAGTTGTGGACTTAGAAAGCTACCATTTGGCAAGTAATATAGGAATGATTCAGCCAACAGTTATCAAGCGTGTTGGAAGTACTGGGTGGAAGTATGATACACACACATAGTCTGAAAGTTTGTACAGGTGACAGATGAGATGAAGTTTTACTGTGTAGCTCAGGGAGGCCCTAAACTGCTGATCCTCCTTCCCCAGCCTCCTAAATGCTGGTGTTACGGGTGTGCACCATACCAGCCAGATACTTCATGTTTTGACAGTTAACTGGACCCTTACAAATAAGTGCAAAATGCTTACGACTCCACAATGGCACAGAGCCGTGGCATAAACGATGCTGCCAGGTGGCAGTTCTGCAGGAAGACCCATTGCTGCCTTTTGCTCAGAGCCTTGACAACCAGCTCTTCAGCCTTGGCCACCTGGCCCTGGTCCAGAGAAATCATGGTCACGTGGTGTGTTGTTCCTTTTAACTCTTGTGCAAATCTCAGCAGGACTCTGGTGAGGTCAAGCCCCATGTGACCTGTGGAGAGGTGACAAAAATGCACACTCACCCGATTCCCTTTCCAAAGCAGGGCCCAGCATCTACCAGCTGGTGGTGAGGAGACCGCATGCTGTGGCGCCAAGAGGCTTTAGCTCTTGTGCTGCTTGGCTGCTCCGTAACTGTGCCTGAGGGAAGCTGGTGGTCCACCTGCAGCTATGTGTCCCTTTCTCTCACAGCTGGCTGGAGGCTGCCCAAGCTGCCGCTGCTCAGCTCCAACACTGTGTTTCTGGCTGATCCTGCAGCTGGGCATGAGCAGCGACGCTTTGAGAGTAAGTTTTGTTGACAGGTGACCTGCAAAACATTGGCTGTGTCCTGAGAGGAGGGGTGAGCCCTGTCCTCTCCTCTTTCTGTTTGGAACGTGCGGTGTTGTAAGTGCCCTGGTAGAACAGCTCTGGATAAACCTTCAGCCTAATGGGTCAAAGTTGGGAAGCGGTGAACTCTGAGGAATATAATTTGGAAACTATGAAGATCAAAAAGTAAACAAAGAAAATATTCTATTTAGGAGGAAATATTTTACTTAGGTCCAATAGAGCAAAAAACGAGACAGAGGGGCTTCCAGGAAGATAGTGGAATGGTAAATACCAGAGAAAGAGCCTCTCTGAGATTTGGTGTCCATACTGGAATAGACCAATGTGGGGAAGAGCCAAAGGAGGGAAGTGGGTCCTCAACACCCAGCCAGGATCTGAAGTGAGAACTGAAGCCTGTGAGGAGAGAGGGACCTCAACACAAAAGAGGTGACAAACTGGACAAACTGTTTTTTCCCAAGCCCTGGCTCACTGTGTGGGAGGGGAGGGGTGGCTTGAAGCTGTAGATGCAAGGTGACTCCTGGTGGCCCCAGAGACCTCCATGGAGAAACGGCCCGGTGGAGCAGAGGGGAGGGCTCGGCAGACTGCCAGGGGGTAAGGAGTCTCCCAGGAGAGCGTGGTGGGCCTCCTGCCGTTTTGGAGCCAGGCCAACTGAGCTCAGAACCCAGAGCAGGTGCAGACTTGCTTGCTCTCGTGGTGCCCGGCGTCAGGGTGAGGTGGATGCAAGTTCAAGATGGCAGGGGTTCAACTCAGCTCCAGCTGCACAGCACGAGCCAGCCTAAATGTCAGTGACACTAAGCACTCAGCTCACTGGAATAGCCACTGCCTCACAGTAAGCCTACTGCTGGCTTGCTGGGATTACGCAACATGGATTGGGCTCCATATGCCCACTCTGTTTACCAGTGACAGCAAAGACATACACTACAGTGGACATTTTTTTCTTTATTTATTTTCTTGTTCCTATTTTTAAATGGGTGTGAACATTATTTCTAGTTGTTTTTGGTTATTCTTTGCTGTTCTGGTTTTTATTTTTTCCTTCTCTCTTTCCTTCCAGTGTTCTTCAACCAGTTTCCCAAAGTAATGTAATCTTCTTTTGTCCTTCAGACTTGATTCTAATCTCTTTCTCTTCTTCTGTTTTTCTATTTATTTTCCCTAACTCCTTCTAAGTTTTCTTTCTGAGGGTAAATTTCCATGTTGAGGGCAATTGCTATATAAAATTTTCTGGTTTGTTTTAGATTTTGTTATATGACCACAAATCTAGTTCACATGTTAAAGGTGGTAAATTAATAGTTACCACATAGTTTGTCATTTTCTAGGCTATATTTATTACTGATTGCTATTGTTATTACTGATTGTATTACTTTAGCCAAGGTGAAATAATTGTTCTAACCAGTTGTTCTTCCTGATATGACAAGACTGAACTTCCTGGGTGTTGAAATACTATAGGCCAGTGCTTAAGAACCAGGGGCTAGATCAAATAGATAACAACTCATCACCAATAAAATGAAGAGGTAGGATCTTGCAACATATTCAAGACCCAAAAGCAAGTTACACCTGGAAGACATCACTGACTAGTCATTTACTAAGAGTTCTCAATACTAGCAAAAAGCTACCTGCCATAAGCATTTTGTAACCATCAACCCAGGAGTGAAATGAGAGAGAGAGAGAGAGAGAGAGAGAGAGAGAGAGAGAGAGAGAGAATGAGACAATACAGAAACAAGATGTTACCCCAGACTCTAGCTTACCAAGGGCAAACACTCAAAGGGCAATGAAGTGGAACAGTTTCAAAGCCAGCCACCCATGTGGACTATGTGAAGTAGTAACAGCAAAAGTAAAAATGCAGATGAATGAGGCTTTAGAAAAAAACGAAATCAGAAATAATTTCTCAGATAACTGCAGAGATGGCAACCATAATGAAGGACATAGTGAATCTATAGAAGATACAGATTAAAAAATAATGGAGGAGCTTAGGAAAATGGCAGAAACCATCAACGGCCAACATAGGAAGAAAATGAATTACATGAAACAGATTCAAACAGATATCCAGGAGATTAAAAATTCCATCGAAAGTGTCTGCAGCAAAATGAGCCAATATCAGATATAGAAAAGAGCATTATGGTTAGCCATCATGAAAAGAAAGATTTCTTAAAAATAGCAAGGGACCATGAAAAATCAATTCAGCAGCTATTAGATGACGCAAAGAATAACGTAAGGCTGACTAGAGTCAATGGAAAAGCAGGAGCTAGCACACACAACATAAGAAACTTGTTCACAAAAGTAATGGCAGAAAATTTTCTAAATATGGAAAAAAGTTGACATACATACAAGTGAGGCATACAGAACTATAATTAGCCATGATAAAAACTACACTAAGACATATAATTGTCAAGATTCCAGAAATTCAGCACAAGAAAAGAATACTAAAAGCTGTTAGAGAAGAGAATCAAAAGACTTACAACAGAAAGCCCATCAGGATTACAGCTGGTTTCTCAACATAAACCCTACGGGAGAGCTTGGAGCAAAGTATTTTAATCCCTGAAAAAGTACCACCTGAAGACCAGATTGACCTAATTTGTAAAACTATCTTTCAAAACTGATGGAAAAATAAGATACTTCCATGATAAAGAGCAACTATGGAAATCAGTGTGGAGACACCTTAAAAAACTAGGACTGAGGGCTGGGGAGATGGCTCAGTGGAATAAGCGCTTCCCTGGCAAGTGCAAGGGCCTGAGTTCAATCCCCGGTTCTGCAAAAACAAACAAACAAACAAACAAACAAACCACACACACACACACAAAAAGAAAACATACAAACAAAAAACAACAACAACAACAAAATAAACTAGGACTGGAAATCCCATTCAAACCAGCTATCCCCCTATTGGGAATTTTCCCAGAGGAACTGAAAACATCATATCATAGTGATATATGTGCACCTGTGTCTACAGCAGCACAATTTGTGATAGTCAAATCCTGGAAACAACCAAAATGCCCATCATCTGAGGAATGGATGAAAAAGATGTGGTATTTTCATATACTGAAGTATTACTCAGCTATAAAGAATGATAAACTTGAAGTCTTTATATTTAAGTGGTTGCCACTTTAAATTTTATTTATTTATTTATTTATTTGAGAGAGAGAGAGAGAGA